AAAAATATGTATATAAAAATAAATTTAATAAATTAACTAATAAAAATATATAAATATATATTTTTTAGAGTTGAGGACAAAAAAATATCGTTTTGAGCATCCAAGGCTTCCTGCTAATGCAGTTACACTTAACCAGCACCTTTCTGCGGAGGTTTTGGCACTGCCTTTAATATCTTTTATTATAATTCTAATGTCATGTCCTGTTCCTTATTTTTTGGTGCATTAAAGAGAAAAACTGATGGTTATGACTTAGGTCCCAGTGTACTATACTATGATAAAGACCTAGTTTCCACTTTCATGGTCCTGATGGCTCGGTTTGAACCTAAACATTTTCCATTATTTTTCTGGCCAAATACGGAAATCTAAAAAAAAACCTATTATTTCTGTCTGTTAACTTTATTAGGCTGGAGCTGGATGATGACTGCACCTCTAAAAGAAATTTATTTCTCTGTTTTAAGGTACCAGTTTCCTATATTTGACATGGGGCATTTATGTCTATAGGTAAATCTGGTAGACTGGCTAAAAATGATGGTTGGCAGCAGGAGGTCTGAGGAAGTGGTAGATCCAAACATTGAGGTTAGGCCATCAACAAGAGCCCTAAAGCGCGCCCTATTGACTGCACTTAGGTGTGTTGATCCTGATTCTGGTAAAAGACCCAAGATGGGCCAAGTTGTGCGTATGCTTGAGTCTGAGGAATATCCCATACCAAGAGAGGTTAGCATCTTAACTCATTTCTTCAGCACTAACACTTATTTGAAGTTGAACTAAATGGAATATCTAGCACATGCCTAATGACATCTGTGTGTTGATGGTCTGATGTCCATAAGTTATGCATTGCATTTGCAAGGAAATGAGTGTAAAACTATGTCTTTTAACTGATTTTTTTGGTATACAGGATAGAAGGCACCATAGAAGTCATGGAGGGAGCTTGGAGATTGATTCTCAAAGGGATAATTCTGACACTGACCGAAGTGATTATCCAGGTTCAAGATCAGAAAGCAAGCGGACACAATTATAAGCAAGGATTTACTTTGAAGTTGTGAGAGATTCATAAGCTGGCACAGGTGTGGGAAGGAATTCTTAAAATTTAATTTTCAATGGCGTTTAGATTCTTGGAGTTTGTCTCCATATATAGTAGTGGTTGGTTGTTGTTACGAAGGGGGTGTGAGTTGGGGGAAAGGGTGGATGAGGTGAGAGGTGACATGTTTATTCTTTTCCTTGTTTCTTTTTAATATAATTTGTAGATGAAGAGACGATCTGTTTGTGTACAGAATTGGGTAGCTCTGGAAAGTTGTGCGAAGAAGTGCTTGATACTTGGTAGGGCAAATATGTATAACAAGGAAAACTGTTGTGCAGTCTTGGATTACCCAACAAGAATCATTTAATGAGAGCATGTCTCTTAATATTGGTGCTTTTTTTTCGTTTAATAATCGTTATTTTATAATTTGATATAATTTAAATTACAAAATAAGATTTATAATGCTTATAGAACAAAATCAAAACGAAACATTTTCAGTTTTTTCAGAATTTTTTTTTATTTTTTTTCAAAAACTAAGACAAATAAACACGTAATCAAATTTTTAACTTATACTTTTGGAAATGTGCTTTTAATGTTCACAACTTTTTTAATCCTTGTTGAAACATTTTTTAATTATCTCTCAAGTAACTTCACCATGAAAGCTTTTTTTTTTAGATCATCAGGACTATCATGCTTAATATAATTAATGAAAAAGTTAGATTGGGAAAAAGTTAAAGACTGTTGACATAATGCTTTGCTTCTTGGTCTTCCACATTGGATGGTGATGATATTTTCAGTACAAATAATTTTTTTTAAAATTTTTTTCTTTGTGCATTTAAAGTATATGTTGAGAGTTGAAACGCAATGAAATTTTATATGAAAAGCAGGGGATTCTTCTTTATTACCTTTCTTTTTAAAAAGCAAAAGAAGCCAATAAGACATATGAATGAATGCGAAAGGAACCCTCCAAGTTGTTGAGGAAATTTCATAGGTATGAAATCAAGAAATTCATGACGAAGAATAAAAGAAAAATAAAGAAATTCGATGGAAAAAGCCTAAAGCTAAGAGATTGCGTATCTTATCCCCTTTTTTTTTTATTTTTTAAAACTTTTTTGAGCTATGTCTTCAGATGAATTTATTATATATTTTTATTATAAATTTACATAAAAAATAAAAAT